GGTACAGACACTCCTCACTCCACCCTACCCTACCCCATGCCCATGCTTTCTTGTCTCTCTACTACCTGGGCTCCATATCTATATATCCAGGTTGCTTCTCTCTTTCAAGAATTCCCTTGCTGATGTCCCCACTTCCAAGACGTCTGATTTCTCAGGGTCCAAATGCTCACTTCATGTTGATGCATCTCCCGTCAATTTCTTGTGCAGTTCATCAATGCATGCCACATCTTAGTCATGTCTTACCACCCCTCCGATAATTGAAGCCTTGGATTACTAGTCGAGAAACTTTGCCCTAGTCTAGCTGTACAAATCACATAATCTCACTGAGCCTGAGATGTCTCCTCTTTAAAAAACGAAGGTTAAACTGGGTGATTTCTAAGGTTCTCTCTATGTCTGTAATCTATGAATTCATGAACTGGCCATAGAAATTACCTAGCCATGGGCCAGTTTTTTTTGTTGTTGTTGTTTTTTAACTTTTAACCCAAACTTAGCAAATCAGTAAGAATTAAAGCTAAAGTTAAAAATTATTGATCTAAAGTAATAAAAGCATATCAAAATAGTTTCTTTACCAAAACTGAGCTCAACTAGCATTTTATTAAATTTGGGACTCATTTTCAAAAACAGGGTATACATTTCCTTGGACCAAATACAGTATCTTTCCTAGAGGGCAACAGATTTCGCTTGTTATTTTAAATATATATAAAATAAACTGAAACTAAGAGTTTAGGAACCAAGTTTGTCATATACTCTTGAAAAACGAAGTGTCTTCACAGGCATCAGAGGTGGGCAACCACAATTGTGGACCTAGAAATCCAATATAAGTAAATGACATTCACTCTAAAAAAAGAAACTCAAAACAAAGGAAATTTCAAAGCTAAAGGTGAGGGGTGCCAACCACCTTCCACAAAACCACAGAGCCCACGGAGGCAGCATCGGCGGCAGCCTCTGGCGAGGTGCATCCTTGTTCTCCAGAGTTGCACTGTACGCTTTACTCCTTCCTGAAGTTCTTTGGCTTGGTAGCACGTGGCTTTTGAACCTCATTACTCCAAGGACCTGAATTTTACATGAGTTTCCTGGGCAGCCTGCCCCGTCAGCACTATTATGCAGCTGCTCAGGATCCTCGGGTGTTACGTGAGCAGCAAGGCGCAGAGGTGCCCGAGGTGAGGCTCCTGGCTTTAGACCCGCCAATGGGATTAGGGAAGAGGAGTAGAGAGGAAATGAAAAATATATATACAGACTATATAGTGGAATGAACTATATATACATATGCACTTATTTATATAATATATGTTAGCTATGCATATTAATTCTTTATATTTACACGATAAAAATATACTGTGCACATTTTACAGAGTAATATACAGTGAACTGAAATATACAATGAAATCAGTGTTTCATATGTTATATATAAATATTTAATAATTTATAATATATAGTACAAATATATCTAATTTATACACATACATATTCTTGGGATTAGAAACAGTGCTTAGAAAGACATCTAAAGATACCTTCCTGAGCATTAATTTCTTTATCTGTAGAATGGACTGTTTTAAGAGTCAGGTAAAAAAAAATTATTTATAAAAGCACTTTGTTAACTTCATAATTCAACACAAACGAAAGGCATTATAATCAACTATAAAATAGATAGCTGTTTTTTAATGTAGATATATGTCAGCCAGGGTCAAAGTTCTAAGGACATTTAAATATTCAAAGTTGGATTATCTTACCTGATCTTCCTATAGAAGACTCTGTTCACTCTATAAACCATTCGTTCATTCATTCATTCATTCAACAGATATTTACGGAGCACCAGCTGTGAACCAGGTGTGAGGGATATAGCAGTGATCAGCCCAGAATCCCTTTTCTCAGGAACTGGCATCTAGAGTGAGGTCAGCAAATACAAAAGTGAACAAATAATATATAATGCCACAAAGTGACAGAGAGTACTGAGAATAAATGGGAATCAGGAGGGGAATACTAGTTCATTGGGATGATGAGGGATGCGTCACCATCGGGCCATCTGGTAGAGCACTGCCCAGTGCACTGAGCCTGAAGCAGGAGGGTACCTGAGGTGCCTGCAAATCAGCAGGGAGGCCAGTGGGGTTGGAGGAGTGGGGTACAGGTTCTCGAGTTCCCCTTAGACTTTAGATTTTACACTCTGAGTGAGACGGGTGCCATCCAAAGGCTTGGAGCAGAGTGACGCTGTTGCCTTTGTTTTCCAGAATCTCTCCGACAGCTGTGAGGAGACCAGGGGGTGAAGGCAGGGCAGAGACGCTGGCCGATGGGCCAGAACAATAATCCAGACGACACAATTGTTCTTCCTTCACCATGGAGGGTTAAAGTGACACACACACCTCCACCCCCACCATAGTCACCTTAATAGACTCACACTGCATGTTTTTCTCAAGCGTTTCAGAGCCTGCCTGTATCCCTCATCTGACTGCACCCTCGTTATCTCTCTGTAGTGGAGGCATGCCAGCTGTTCACTCCTAGGCCAGAGAGGAAGGTCTTGAGACAGCAAAGTTAAGACCCTGCCTGAGGCCATAAAAAGGAGACTTGAACCCTGTGTGACTCCCAAGCCGGAGTTCTTTCTGCCAAACCAAGGTCAGGGCCAAACTTCTCTCTCACATTTCTCTTCCTTGGATCAGAGAGTTACCAGACCATCTCATGGGTAGAACTAACCTTTACCGAGCTTCCGGAACTTTCCAGGGCCAGAGCAAGATATTTACACACATCGTCTCATTTCTTCTTCACTACCTTGCAGGGAAAGTTAACATCCTAATTTTAAGACACAGGAAATACTCAGAAGGCTTGATTTGCCCAATTTCTGGCAACTAGCAATGGATCTGGAAATGGAACCTGGTCCTTGATTCTGATTCTGAAGGCCACAAATTCCCTTAACCCCAGATAATCCAAGTACTTGAACAATCAAAGGAACATGGAGTAGCCATTCTTGCTGGTCTTCTTTGCAGGGGCTGAGAAGGGAAGGGTAACGTGAGCACGTGGCTCCCGGAAGGGCAGGAATCCATGCCAGCCACCCTCCCCGTGCCCCCCACCTTAGGCGACACCTCCCCCTATCCCCCATTGCCAGAAGTTGCTCTGAGCACGTGTTCTGTCTCTTTATGTAGGATGCTCCAAAGTGACCTGCATCAGCTTGACCCGAGAGGCCTCCATTAAACTGTCCCCCTTGCATGGCAAACAGATTTCCATCCGCTACCTGGACATGACGGACTGCTTCGTGCTGGAGGACGAGGGCCTGCACACCATCGCGGCGCACTGCACGCAGCTGACCCACCTGTACCTGCGCCGCTGCGTCCGCCTCACCGACGAGGGCCTCCGCTACCTAATGATCTACTGCCCGTCCATCAAGGAGCTGAGCGTCAGCGACTGCCGCTTTGTCAGCGACTTCGGCCTGCGGGAGATCGCCAAGCTGGAGTCCCGCCTGCGGTACCTGAGCATCGCGCACTGCGGCCGCGTCACCGACGTGGGCATCCGCTACGTCGCCAAGTACTGCAGCAAGCTGCGCTACCTCAACGCGAGGGGCTGCGAGGGCATCACGGACCACGGCGTGGAGTACCTCGCCAAGAACTGCACCAAGCTCAAGTCTCTGGACATCGGCAAGTGCCCACTGGTCTCTGACACGGGCCTGGAGTGCCTGGCCCTGAACTGCTTCAACCTCAAGCGGCTCAGCCTCAAGTCCTGCGAGAGCATCACGGGCCAGGGCCTGCAGATCGTGGCGGCCAACTGCTTCGACCTCCAGCTGCTCAACGTCCAGGACTGCGAGGTGTCCGTGGAGGCTCTGCGGTTTGTGAAACGCCACTGCAAGCGCTGCGTCATCGAGCACACCAACCCTGCCTTCTTCTGAAGGGACAACTTCCGTCCGGCGCTATCTTGAGACAAACAGGAACGAGATGAAATGTTTTGTTTTTGTTTTTGTTTTTGTTTTTTTATGCAGCATATGTAAGCACCGACACCCACTCATAACAGTTCTTTCTTCCAGGAAGGTTCTTAGGCGTCTTTTTTTTTTTTTTTTTTTTCCTAATTTCTCATGGGTAACAGAGGTCAAGGAAAGGAAGGGCGGGGACAAATTTCTATTATAGTAAATGGGTTTTTTTTTTTGGTCAGGTCGTTCATAGGCAGTTTCTGTTCTCACGAAAGATGTGTCTCAGAAAGCCGATGGCAGCGTCTTTAGAAACGCCCTGTTCTCTCTCTGTCTCACTTCTCCTGGCCAGGTCTTCGGGGTTCTACACCCCCATCCCTCCTACTCCCCGCCCCCACCAGCAGCAACAAACCATTAGAAAAATAATGCTCTCCAGACCTCCTCCTCTTCAAAGGCCTGGATTGGCCAAAGCCACACTCTTCAATCCAACCCCCTAGCAAATTCTTGTTAAATTAATGTCACAGTACCTGGTCTACATACACAGTACTTCCAAACCCTTTTAAAGACTCTCAAGCAGGATGGTGGAAGAGGAGACCTGAATTCCGCCCCCAGCCCTGCCACTTACTAGCTCAGTGACCTAGGGCAAAGCACTTGACCACTGTGGGCTCTAGCTTCCAGCGCTGAATTAGAGGCTATCCAGCTTGTAGATTAGCTTCATGCCCGTTTTAGAATCGAAGGAACTGAGATGTCGCTAAACAAGCACCTTGGCATAGAGCACACGAGGCCTCTACCTCTGCCAACGGTATACATTCTGTGGACGCTTAAAGGAGGTTCGGATGTGCCAACGCCAGTGTCCTGTATGTCCTTCACTCCGATCTGAGTATCCGCCCCCGCATCCCTATTTGTTCCGACACTTGAGTCTCTTGGGCACCTTCTCCCACCCAGCTAGATGGATGGTTTCTGTGCACAAGTGCTTTCAGCATCAGCCCACTTCACACCACCATAAAATTCCTAATCACAAAAAAAATAAGAAGAAGAAGAAGAAGAATAAATAAAAATTCCTAATCTCAGCAAAGCCTACACCCGCCCAGGCAAATTGATCTTTCTGAGTGTTTTCAATAGGAGTTAAGACCCTCAGAATTTTTAATTAACAAGCGAGACCCAAGAGAACACATGTCCTCCAAGATTTTTCTAATCCCAGTGCACACGTGGCCTGCATCAGGCACATCTGCCCTGCAGCTGACAGGAACAGACGCCGCGGCTCGTTGTCATTCAGATCACATTTCTACTTTTCTCATCTATTTATTTCTTTGTGCATCCAGACTTCATCACACGAAGCCTATTGGGGTTAAGTCGTAAGCATTTAATTGTGCAGATTGCCACCTTGTGTGCCTTCCCTTGTAGCTGTCTGCATGTTCTCTGTCAGAGAGTGCACGGCAGACTTCCAGGTGTTTAAATACTGTTTACTCGAAAATGCCAGACGAATGGAAGAAGGAACACATTGATAAGGCTTAGGTGCTGGTCCACCAACCAGGCCCTTGGAATAGAACATTAAAATCATTGCTGAATGTGATTTTTAAATGGTCCTATTTGGATAGAGATCCATTTGCTAGCTCTATTCCTGTGAAATCAGGATGCCAGAAGAAATTCCATTACTCGTTTTATGAAATTTAGTTGCCTTTGTTAATAAACACGTGACCTTTCCCAAATTATTCTCTGGCCACACCCCACCATCACTGTTCCAACAGTTCATCCATTTCTTTCTCAAAGGGTCTACCGTGCAAACCCAGAACCTCTGCATCTCCGAGGCAAGCATGTGGACTTTGTTTCAGCTCAAGCTTACACACCACTCGACAACTGCACTCCCATGTAGGCTCCCTGCGTTTCTTTGTCTTATGTTGGGAAGGAGGAGATAGAGTGAGGTGGTGTCTGCCCAGGAGGCTTCTTTCATGCACCATATGAAATATGGTCTTCTCGCCAATCAACATCATCAGCAATTTAGATGTGCAATCAAGGCCACAGGGGAAAATGAATTATTTGGCTGGGGATAGTATCCAGTGATAGTCGTAGGGTTTAGAAGCATGAAAAGGAGTTGAAAGTAGCATTCCCCTGCTCTGTGACTTGTGACCTTGTCTAAAGTTTCAAAATTTGAGTCACAAAGGATTTTTTCTAACCCTTGGCACTGGAGTGTTCCAAGTGAGCTGCCTTAATACTTCTGGAATGAAAAGGGAGAGCCCAAATGGCTCCCTGCGAAGGTATATCCCATTATTACAGATATGTTCATCACCACCACTTCGCCACGTCACCTAAACTATCTTCCAAACATGAGACAAAGACAAACTTTCACTGATTGCCCAGCACATTCTCTTTCCCAGTTTCTCCTTTCTTCCCAATCTTCCCTTCCATTCTGCTTCCCGTTGGGGTGTGAATCTATGACAGAGGTTACTGGGGAAACAGCTCAGCAGATTTGGAGAGACCAAACAAAAGGCCTCCCTAGGAAATTTATCGGTTTTAAAACTTGCTTCCTTCCTGCCTCTGCTAAATTGAATGCTCATTGTTTTTCTTTTTTTTTTTTTTTTACATTCTAATGTTCAAATCACTGCGTGCTGTAAGACTCTAGAAAGCCTTAATTTACTACCACCGAGAAATAAAGCAATATGTTGGTAATCGGGTTAAGCCTCATTTAATACCCTGCCTAGAGGAGCGTGGTGTTCAGATGGGATGCTCAAGAGTGAGCAAGAGACTTGCCTTATGTTGTAGTAAAGAGCAAGTCGGGTGAGGGAATTGGTTGTCCCTTTAAAGTTGCATCTATGGTTTTGTCATTTCCCTTGGCTCAATGACTTTGGCTGAAAATTCACAAGTAAGTGAAAAGTCTTTCTCTGCACAGTTTAGTTCAGGTCTTCTATTCCTTAACCCAAACACTTGGAGCAAGATGTACTTTAAAATTCATAATTTTTCATATTTTAGAAAGATACTTGTGGTGTATTTTGTAACACCCCTCGCAGAGTCTGCGACAGCACCCTTAATTAAACATGTTAATATTTCTTCAACAACAGATATGAATAGTCACACTGTGTAAGATTATTACAGACTCTAAATAGCTTGCCTCCCTTCAGGTCAGGCTTTGTCACCAAATTAAATTGTGCCAAACATAATGAAAAAATACTCCTATTTTGAAAAAATACTCCTATTTTTTCATAGCTTTCTAGATTTCAGAGTTATGGATAAGTAACTGTGGACCTGAAGATACTTCTCCTGGCACTGGTTACACACTTGGGAGAAATCTTCAAAATTATGCTGACCCTTAATTATTATAAGTTAAAATAACAATTAAAGAAAAAAGTCTTAGAGCATTAAAACCTGGAAGGAGAATATGGCAACTGATCTAAAAGGAAAAGCTGTCAGTTGGAGAAAGAGAAATGCGAAATCTTTACTCATTCATACCTTCAGATCACAGAAATCAACATAGTGGAAAGCAGATATTGATAGATGAATGGCAAACTTTATCTTCAGTAAGTTCATAGGTTTTTTTAAGAGATATCAATTTTAAATCTTATTTGTCCACAACCTTCTACTCTATTCAGCTGCTTGATGACTCTCATATAAACCAACAGGACTGTTAGCTGCCTTGGAACATTAACTTGATGGAGCTAGCCCCATGCAATTTTGTCAACATCCCAGACTAAGACTAGCGGTAAATAAAATAAATTTGCCCTTGAAGTTCGTGGCTTCTTACATTGATATTTGTTCAAAATTAGAAAAAAGTATTTAAGAAGTTTGATATCCAAGAACATACGACATGAAGCCAAAAAGAGCATTGTTAAGGGGAAAAGTAATACAATACATTGCTTACCATGTCTAAATTTTCAGCGAAGTCACCCAAACTGGTACATTTGTGTCATAGCTGACAACCATGATTAGTTCAGAAAGAAGTTAATCTGATGAAATGCTGAAGAGACAGTAGAAGAGGGAGAGAAAATGTTTAGAAACTAGGTAAATATTGCAGTGAGAATGTTCACACAGAAAATCTGTGAAACAAAGCTGTTTTTCCACTGCACGTTGGCGGTCAAATGGTTTCTTCTTTTTGATCCATACACCAGAAGTGATCCTCAATGTCACAGGAAGAAGAGGGACAGCGGGAAAGGGAGAGCTTGTCATCATCTGTCTTCAGTGGACGCCAGTGCTGTCGCGGAGACTTGCTTAGATGCAGCTTCTGTTGCCCAAAGTACAGCTCAGGCAGGTTCCATTAAGATGACCAGCAGGTGGGCAGAGCTCTTCACAAGGGAAGAAATGCTCTCATAGACACTCAGACTGGGGACACCCCATCCAGGAACAAATGCACCCTTGTGATTATTCCTCCTTTTTCCTTTCAGTGCATCATTATCTCCTAAAGCCACAGGTCTGTTTTGTAAACCCTTCTTTTCCTCTCAAGTCTGCAGATCATCTTACATTTGAAACCATGTGGGATGAACAGAAGTTCTCCATTTGGAAACTACGGATGACACAATCCCTGCCTGTCAGCAGCACATTCGTGGCACCTCTGGCAGAGCTATTCCAGGAAATATCTGCGACGAGGATGCTGGTCTCATGGACCACCCAGGAAGGCTATCATTAAGCTCTAAGTTGTTGTTCATGTGTTAACAATCAGCATCATCCAGGTACCAAAAGATAGCCTTGAAGAATCATTAAAAAAGAAAGAAAGAAAGAAAGAAAGAAAGAGAGAGAGAGAGAGAGAGAGAGAGAGAGAGAGAAAGAAAGAAAGAAAGAAAGAAAGAAAGAAAGAAAGAAAGAAAGAAAGAAAGAAAGAAAGAAAGAAAACTAAACATTTTCAAATCTAGTCATTTCTATATTGTAGAGTGTTTCTATTTGCCGTCGCTGAGCTACTGAATTTTACACTGATGAGATCAGCATGTCTGACTTCTATCTTGGCCCATGAGATGCTGAATATGTGAAGGAGATTAGAAATTGCAATCGTTCTTCATGAACAAAGAATTCCCAGGGATTGCCAATGAGCATGTGTTCAGCCACCTTCGATTCCTTTAGCAAAGGTTCATTGACCAAGTACTATGATAGGATCAGGGTGATTAAGAAGTAATATCTTTACCCTAAATGGATCTCAGATCAAATATCTATAATGTCATGTAATGAATTGGAGGGTGGGGAAGGAAATATAAATAGAGTGGCAACATTCTTTCATTCATTCATCCAATAGTATTTCCTAAGAACCTAAGATGTGCCAGGCACTGTGCTGGCGCAGCGAGTCTTTCCCTCATGGGGTTTGTCAAAGGAATAATTTTCATCACCATATGGAGAGAAGGATAAAGCTCAGAAGAAAAGATCCTCGAGCTGGGATTTATAACTCGGACAAGGTGTTATAAAACAGCATTCAGGGAGCCCATTCAGGGAGACAATATTTGACAAGGTTAACAAAGTGATTTCTCTCTACCGTAGGTTACCGTCATCATTATACTAACCATAAGTTAACTTTGTCATTGCCTTGAGTTAGTCATATGGAACTAGCAGGTTCTGTTTTGCTCCAACGTCTTCCCACACATTCATCTAATCCCTACATACATTATACATTCTCTCATACATATACACTCACACACGCAGTATCATTTTTAAAGGATGGGAATTTTCTGTGAAAACAACACTGAAACGTAATTTCTTAGACAGACTCTAAGACTCTCGAAGCAGCTTGACTGTCCTCTCAAACAGCATATGCGATAACAGTCCCAACGCGCCCGTAAACCTGCGAACCTGCCGTCGGAATCTAGCTCAGGAAGAAGGTGACAGTAGCTCCCTCCATCCCAAACGCTTGGATTCTTCAGCCGACATGGCTGCACTTCGGTGTCCCTCTGATTGTTATGAATTTAAGGTAGGAATGGTTGGAATAATCAAGGTTTCTCAACTTCCCATGTCCTTTTATTGAAAACTGGAATATGTCAGTGATTGTGAAAATCCCGGATGGCCCAAGTAAGATTGATTATGTGGTCGTTAAAATTGCCAAGAAATGGATTTTACTTGTAAACCCACTGAGGATGGGTCCTTTGAAACTTCAAATTTTATCTGGATTGTGAATATGAAATTATCTGCCCAAACTGACAATAAACAAAGAATGAAAGTCATTAGAAAGCGCGGGAGCGATAAGGCTTTTAATCCCTGTTCCGCGATGGTCGGAGGCAACTATCCTCATCGTTTTTCAGAGCTCCGAATGTGCCCCAAATTCCGAGTAGGCTTAGGAAACTCATTTCCAGACAGGCATGCCAGAGACACGGGAGAAGATTTCTAATTACAAAGATTAGCCAGTAATTGTTCCTTCCTTCTTCTCCAGGCCCCTAACCACCACTAATGAACACAGCCACCTTTTACAAATAAAACTTCAAAAAAAAAAAAATTCCAGGTTTCACATCATGACTGCATTCTTCCTGGGTGTTTACATTTAGAATTTAAACAAACTTATCATGAGCTTGTTCATTTAAGAGAAAGTAGATAAAGGGACAACATTGTCACGACTGATAAATAGCTTTCTTCATTTTATCTCAAACCTTTTTTTTTTTTTTTTTTGGAACTGGGGAGCAGCAAAGTAGATATAACTGCCTTTGTATAATTTTACATTTTTCATACCTCTAGATTAATTCCACAAATGCTTTGGGTTCCAACTGTACAATTCCTCATTCTTCAATCCCAGAAATGTGAGAAGGTTTTTCATGCTCCCTTGCCACTTAGCAAAGCCCTAAAGAGATTGTTTTGCTGAACAGATCCTTGTCTTAGTAGAGAAACCAGGAGAATTCAGACCATTTCTCTTGCTCTCGTTACAAGCACACGGGCCAATATGTGATTTATGACATGGTTGTTCTTTATGAATGATGTCCCTGAAGCAAAGGCTTTTCATTAGCTAGCCGGACTGTGGGACTCCACTTGGCTCTCCTCCACCACATTTATAATCTTAAAACACCCAAAGAATAATGACCATGGACGCACTGGAGGGCTGGAGACCAAGAGGCTGTGGATTTAAAGAGAGAGAGAGAGAGAGAGAGAAACATTCAAATAATGACCTCTCACTCATATAATGAAAACCAGAGTCACCTCTGGAGTTTCAAACTGGTATTGTTTCACTGGTACCATCGCCTTGGGGTTCCTCTGTGTAATGTTTCTTTTTAAAAGAGTGCACACGGAAAGCACAGGAAATACAAACACTGCCATGAGAGAGTCTCCCCTCTTTTTAAAACTTGTGCTTAATCCCAAATGCATGTGGCCAAATAACCTTCAGGGTGATCATGTTCTGTAATAACTCCTTCTGCGTTTACAAAAAGAAAAGCCACCCATTTTCAGGTGCTTTGTGTTTCTGTTTCTTTAACTTCCCTCACTCTAAATGCATTGGCCTTGTGGCCTCAGGGCTCCAATGCCTAATTCTTCACAGCCAATAGCTTGTTCTGGCCAGGGAGAAAAGTGACCTTTCTTATCTGATTTTCTGAACAATGCAAAGTATTATATCAGCAGCTCCTAGCAAAGTCCTCTGCAGGCCTTAGCACCCAATGTTAAACCTTGTGTGGGGGTAGAATCCAAGGCAGGCCAAAATTAGGTGGAACTTCGCCTTTGGCTAAAACTAAGAAGCACTCGGTAATTCTTATGTAACAGCAAATACAACATTTTTTTTTTTTTTAAGTT